ACACATACATGGTGTATTCGGGGCGGCAAGGTGTGAGATTTATATGATCAGACAAATTCCTCACGGGAAACATAATGAATGTAGGTTAACGGATACTTTTTGTCCATTCGGCTGACTGTAAATCGATAAATACCGCTTTTTATTCAGAGTTCTCAATTACATTGAAGGCGTACGACCCATACCACCAACCATTACATCAATCGCACGACAAACACATTTAAGCTTCAAAAGAACCATTTGCGATTGCTTTTTCCGACTAATTTCGCTGCCCATTCCAAAATTCGTTTGAACAACATGCCAACGTCTATTCATGGAAAATGAATTCCGTTTTTTTGGACACACCGTTGCTGTTGTTCCTCTTTCCACCCACAATTTCATTCGCTCTTTGAGTCTAGAAAAAACGACACGAATTTCATTTGGTGGCGGCTTGCCGACAATACTGCACGATATTCTTGTGTCTCGTGCCTATCATTTCTCTTTGAACTTCTAATATTTAAAAAAAAAAAAAGAATCGTCGAACAAAAGTTTATCAATGTTTTAATGGTTTTATGGTGTGTTTTTTACTCTGAAAATAGAGAAGAAAAAGTCAAAAATTGTCTGGGTGAAGTGATTTATTGTTATTTTAATATTTAATTGCAATTTGATTAAATTCGGAGAAAGTTTGAATCAACCATTTGTCATCATGTTATTCTGTAATTTATTTAAAGGAACGTGTAAGAAGAAGGAGGTAAGTTTTTTATATAAATTATTATTTTAAAATGGTTTTCAATGGGAATGGAGCTGAAAAGTTGAATACTTGTGAATTGAAAAAAATATCTTGAATATATAGAATTGTCAATATCTTCTTTTATCGATGCATGTTCGCATTGAATACAAACACCGTCATAATATTGGACAAGCATTCCATAAACTCGTTAATTTGAAATGGAAATTTTCAATTTAACGTACATATTTAGTTTCAATATGAAGGTTCCGAATAGAACCAAAACACATTACGCGTTGAATACGAAGCAATCATGCAACAATAAAATCATCCTGTAATTTTCAGTCTACCAACACCTGCTATTATATGAAATCGGCTAATACATTCTATTTCGATTAATTCAAACACTTTGAAATTGATTGATATCGGCTTTATTTGTACCGTTAGAACATTTCCCATTCATGGAAAAATTCGCATTTCAAAGAAAAATAAGCGATTTGCAAAAAAACCAGGTTCCGTTTGTAATTTATTCGTTTCCACGGAAGAATTTTGACACAAATGAAGAATGGAATTTTACTGTCGAAATAATAACTCATATTTTGACGTAGAATAATGATATATACACTTTTTACCTATTGTATAATACGAAATAGGCTCATTCAACTTTCTTCGCGTACAATTTCGTGTGTTTAAGTTGTGATGTTTCCGTTTCGCGATGAATTTATGCATAAATGCGATAACGTACCGAAATGAAGCGTTTTTTTTGTGATTTCGAATGTCCAACCAGCATCAAGATTCCCAGACTCTTTCACAAATGTAAATGTGAAGATCGCCTTACGTGTCTATATACGTTTTTTATGTGTGTAAAGTGATCAAGTGCGAAGAATAGTACGCAAAGCAACATGAAACCCCACCAGTCGTAGAATGCGTTTTATTCAAACAAATTGAAATAACAACGAATGAGACGAACAAAAAAATTTGAAGAACAATGCAAATAAAATACTTACAAATCCAATGCATTTTCTGGCATTTTCAAGGGGAATCTTGTTAAAAGTGTCGAAGTGGTTTCTTTTCTTACTTGTTTGTTTTATTACAATTATTCTGAGTTTTTTTTTGCGAATGAATTTAGTTCTCATTCCGATTCAAAGTCAATGCATAAAAACCGTTTTCATTTAAATGGGAACAATAATAATAATCATTCGCAAATCGAGTTAGTATGAAGGCGATAAATGGGTGTTTTTTGCGAGAAAAAAAAAACAAAACGATACACACGCTCACATGTTAATATACGCGGAATGAAAAAAAAAAACTAATAAGAAGAAATCATCAAGCCAATGCATTTGGATTAGTTTATTGTTTTGATTCGGGCAATTGAAAGCAGCAATTTTCGTTGTTGCTTTGAAAACAACAACCAAATTCTGCGAAACATAAACTAATAACTTCTCGAAAATTATAGCGATTCATCTCTACCGTCTTATAACGATGACGACAGTCGCTAACGAGTCATACAGTTTTGTATTGCATGTTGTTATCACATATTTCTTTGGCTTTATCAAGTTTTTTTATCGGTTGGTTACTCTTCATGTTCTGCACAAATCCTTCATTCAGCAGTCACATTCACGCCACAGCTAATATCTTGCCACACCAAACGTATCTCGTTGTATCCATCAGCGGCACGACGAAGAGAATCGCATTTCACTTAAAATAGCTTAAACCAATCGTTAACTATGAGCAAAAACGCACATATGATTCGGCGAATTGGATGGAAACCAAACCTATTATCAGCGTGCGCAATTGCTATGTTGAGAATGCATAGCGACAAAATACCGTGCATTCAATTAACATAATGTGTAGATCGCGTTAACATTTAATGGTGATAATTAAAAAGCGAATTTTCATTTAAATGAACTACTCTGATGTTCAACCAAACGAACACTCTTCCTGTTTGCGCCACATGAAATATTGGCACACTTTTTACCATCATGACTTTGTATGAATTATTCGTTTGGAATTAGAAGCACCTAGATATTCGGCCTTACATTTTACCTCATTTAAAGTCCGCATTGGATAACAAATGGTGTCATAGAACAAATGGAAACGTCTATTGGGCATGTATATTGTACACCGGCCGACGAACAGGTGATCGAAGTAATGTAAAAATGAAACCCTTTTGCGTTGAACCTACTTAATTATTTATAATACACGTTTCACTTTCAACTCTAGGGGGCATGTTTATCAAGCATTAAAAAGGAAACACTTGTAAATCACGTTTCACAAAAACTCTCTTGAAGTTCACCGGACATATCAAGGACATTCTTTTCTTTTCATCAAAAAATGAATAATTTCAATTCAAATACAAATTTTCAAGTAATTTGATACGTAATTTTATTGAATGTTAAATCAACTTGAAGTCTTGCCGATTTTTCTGTTTCACTCTGTGTTTGCTGTTATAGATAAGCAAAGAACTCAAGTAATATTTGTGTTCAAGATTTTTGACTTCTTAGCCATGACTTTGTTGCCTTGTGACGAAGAAAATAAATTTTCCATAGGTTGTGTGGTAATTCAATTTTTTCGCAACCTGATCGAATTTCGGTCAGTAACAATATGAATTTTTTACTGCTTCCGTTCTCCATTGTTTGTTCAGTCATTCAGTGTCATTGAATTCGTTTTCTGAGTGATAAGTAGCAATTAATTTTTGTGCTGAAAAAAAAAGATAGTTCATATAAAAGTAATTAACATGTTCACATTTTGGAAGTCATCGAACTCGGCGAAAGAAGGAAATTCAGCGTGGTACATTGATGACGTTGATTTAAATCAAGAGAGAGTCAATTCAGATATGCTATCAACCAGTCGATATGTGAGTAATATAAAAGCTACCGAAATTTATTATCAAACACCAAGAGACGATTTGCCAAGTCACTCGTGGTTAATTTCGTCCATTTCATTCACTTTTTTTTTTGTTTCATCGAAACACCAATTCGTATTGAACAGACATGAATTAAAAATTTAAAAGTGATTTTAGTCACAAAAGAAGAAAGAACTTAGTTAACTAAGTAGCCGAAAAGTGGGAACCAAAATTGAAGTAACCAATAATTAACCAGACCATAACAATAAGAAAATCAAAAAAAAGTGGAAAGAGTATTAGAAAACAAGTTGAAATTGTAAGACCTTTTTCACGGTACCTCTTAACATGTAAGCCCTTTTTAGCTAGAAAAAAGCACATACGCTTTTTAGTCATCCGATTTATAATGCACTTATCGAAGCATAGAGGTCGCTCACGCAGCTCAAGTGAATTTATCGAATAGGAATGTGTATAATATATTCCATTCATCAATTAAAAACATGCCATACGGTTTTTAAGAATAAAAATCAAAAATGTTCCCATTACGCAAGATGGGTGAGATAATCAAAAATGATTGTCAAATCGTGCCAAATTAACGTTTGTTTAACTATAAATTGAGTGGATATTGTTGTGTAAATAATTTATTCAATCTCCATGTGCACGTTGCAAGTGAATGATTATTTTTTTATTTTTCGAGTAATAGTTGCTATCATCATAAAAAAAGTAATTCACCGAATAACCGAATATTCATGGGCAAGCCCATTGAATTAGGAGTTAATCAAGATTTGTGTTCATCATCGGTAAACACAAGCATTGTGTCTGATTAAGACGGAATGTATGAATCAAATTGGAGTGTAAAAAAATACGCCGAATTTGAATGTGTGTACTACACATTTGTTTGACATGGATAAAATGTTCATCGAACGTAAAGTTTGACAATTTATAGGACACGCACGCATACACTGGTATTTTTATGTCAACGATTCAGTATGTATGTATGTGTGCGTTTGTGTGTATGCATTGGATTCTGGCGCGTATACAATCGGTTCATCTTGTGCCGCTGAGGAATCTAAAGTATCCACACTCATACATAGCCAGCGGGTTATTTGAGCGTAACAGTTCACTGAAGTGTTGGTAATTCGTTGATACAATACACACACACATGGAATGGTTCATTGTATCCGAGTCAGCGTTCAAAAATTCGATATAGTTTCACATGGACGTAGAATTCAAGAACCTGTGTGTGCACTGTATCCATGAGCGCATTACATTTACATACACGAAAGAGAGTATCTCGCTCACTCTGCACGCAAATCACTCTGAAAGTACCGAAATAAACGAAACATATCAATTGAAATGAAATGTGTTCGCCTCTCTCACATAGACACACACACACGCACGCTGCCTCGTAACGTCAACATTTAGGAAGCCAAGTAGTAGCAAAAGGCAGAGCAGCAAGAAAGCAGCATAACAAGTTGTTTCTCTGTCTTCGACACGAAAACTCAATATTTTTTTATACTATAAAGCGTCTCGCGCTTACTGTGTTTTTAGTTCGTTTTCTTTGGTTTTTCGTTGGTATTCTCTCTTAAAAGTAAAGAAAATAATCGGATTTTTTTTTTGTTTGTGTTTTCGTTTATATTTATATCGTGATGGACGTACATTTAGAAGAAACTTTGCCATTTAGAATAAAAAAATTGACACAGATGCACTAAAACATGTTGCGACCAATTTGATTTTCGATAATATATAGCATTTTGTTTCAATCAATTTACAACGACAGAGAGTTCAATGTGTCGTTGAGTGAATTAAAATTAACGACATGGTGCACGATACAATCGAGAGAGAAAAATTTTATAAATAAAGGAGACGAAAATTTCAAGTGTGAATGTATACTTCGATTTACGTGCAAAATTATCGTACACGAAGAAATATATTATTGTTTATTGGTGTTTCGATTTTTTTGTTTTTGTTTTTCTGTTGTGTGTTTCGCTTAATTTGTACGATTCGATTTTCAATTGAGTTTTTTTTATTGCACGATTAAAAGTATAAGTGCAAATCGGCAACGACAACCAAACAAATTGCATTCGGATTATCTTTGGGATTTTATTTTATTGTTTAGCTGCTTTAACCATGTCGTACACACATACTGTTCCCACAAAGGTGAGCGAAAACCATTTAAATTTTTAATTACATTTAAACCACACCAGTCGAACGTTCGAAAACCATCCAAAATCAAAACTTAATACTTCAAATTCAGCATTCGATATCAGACATGAGGGGGCGACCGCAAGTCCTATATCAACTACAAAACCAAAACATTTAAACGAAAACAACATAAAAAAAATCAATTAATTGAAAACCAAAATACTTCAATACCGCCGAACAAATCGAATGGAAATCATTTATTGCGTGCCCGATTGAATGAGAGAGCGAGAGCTGAACCGTTTAGTTGGTTCGACGAGCAAATGAAATCGAAACCAATCTCATACAAAAAAAACTACGATAACAATAACAAAATGCGATATGTTTTCTTTCTGTAAGAAATTGTACAATAAGAAAGTTTTCCACATTTTTTTTTCTCACCGCACACACTTAACTCTTTTTCAGCTTTGGTTATAGTCGTCGTTTTTTTATTATGGGTAGTTTTTTTTCCGCTCACATCCAGTTCACCATTTTGTGCTGAAGGTTTTTCTCATAAAATACCAAACGAAACATTCGTAGCGAAAAACATGAATGCAAATTCATAAAACCCAAAACAAATAGGGGAAAACACAACATCGTTTCGCCAATTGAATAAAATTGGCGTGCGTTGGATAGAGAAAAAAAAGCCAGACACACTTACAACCACACATCGATTTTCCTTTTTTTTCGTTCAAATTTTCGTGTGAACTTTATCGACCACTGACACATGTTGTTCCATTGAACTCACTATAACCACGTACATGCACACAATTTTGACTTCTTTTATACTCATCCGACTACATTCGCTTTCGCATGATTTCATAATTTTATTAGTTTTTCAATCCAAATGCAAAAATATCCGCCCCCAAAGTGGGGAGTGTATAAAGACAAAAACGAATTTATTAGATTAATTGCTGTTTTTCGATCTCTTTCTTTCTCATTGCATCCAATGAATTTAATTGGAATTGCTTCGCATCATCACCTTTTGGTGAAAGGAAAAAAGAGCTGTAAATAGCACCGTTTATATCACGGTTGAAAGTGGCGGTTAATTTGCTCCATCGTGTAAATTGGCTTCAAAATCATCGATGAATTCTTCGTAGAAATGAAACATTTAATTCCATATCATGTTATGGGGAAGCAATCAAGATGATAATGTGACTCATTGCGGTGTGCACCACAAATTCATAAACTTTGGATTCGTTTTCGCAAAATACTCATTCGTTGAATTCGTAAATTTTATGACACACAAACATTTAAAATTTAAATGTGTCCAGAACATCTGTTTTGTCTTGTGTGCCATTTTTTCGATCTAAACGTACACGTATTTGTTTGATCACGAAAAAAATTTCATTACTTCGACAGAAGATATCGTTCGACAACTTACTAGAAACATCTTTATCATCTGTTTACATCACCTGAAATCATTTTTTTATTATTTACTGACGTGGAACATTCGATTTGAATTAGAAACAAAAACGGCTCAAACTTTTCAATTTCAATTGGAGTTCTCGGCGGTATTACGATCTATTTCGAACAATGATGATGCAATCATACCTCGATATGTCACACTGCTTACTCTCTATGAATAATTTAGTTCAAGTCACGATAACTCGGTCAAACATAGTTTTGTCTATTGTGACCATTTCACCGAAAAAAAAACCGAACGACAAAGAATAAACAAACCAAATAACAAATCAAGTATTGTTACCAATTGAAAGAGCGATAAAAAAATTCACACATTTTATTTGCACTGCAGTAAACATACTTGAAGAGCCACAATATTTAATTATAGTACATGATAGATATCGTTTGTTATCTCTCACATCAGGACATGATTGAATTAGAAAAAAAAGTGTGTGCTTGAATGAGCGCCGATCAGATTTTATTTGGTATGTATTACAATAGAATTGTTATCGATAATCAACACGAAACAAAAAAAACGATCTGTATTTGATAAGTTCATCAAACAGCCTTCGGTGCGGAACGATTATTATTGTACAATAATGTGCGTTGTAATTGAACGATAAATCGTAAAATAGCCGGCATGAAAATGAAATGAATTCGAAAATTAACCGAAATTCGACTTTATGAGATTAAAAATGATTTAAATGAACAATACAAATGTTCAATGATTTCGTGCTATTTAAATTGATTGAATGTGATTTGACCTTCAATCGTCGACTCAGTTTTGCCAAAACGCCTCTCCCTTTCTATTCGTGAGACGAACGACAGTAAATAAAATCATGTATGTTGGTTAGACATTACAACGCATTCATTCCCACATGTGACGACGAGTGGTGTTGATCAAACGCAATCCATATTATATTTGAAAATATCATGTGGTTCGTTCACTTATTCGTTTATGCAGGCAAATTGCTCTATTGAAATCCAAAACCAAAAAAATGACAACAACGAACCGAAAAAAGAAACCTTCGTCACTTCATAAAAGCGGCAAAAGAAGTCTGATGATCATCAAACACAAAAACAGACTTATATACACTTCAAACCTAATATAAACCATAATTTTTCTAAGCGCATTTCTTTCAGTTTGAATGACAAAAAAACACACACATAAAATATTGGCCTTCATTCTTTTGGTTGTCTCTGTTTTAATTTTTCGTTTGAAGTGGTTCGGCTCGCCAAAGGAAAACTGTGTGACATGGGAGAAAAATGGTGACGTGAAGTGAATTCTCGGTCAAAATTTGATTTGAATGAAGAAATACCTCACAAAATGAATAATTAGACGATAAATAATGAACAAGACTCTGCTTTATGCTATACACTGCATATAATACACATATTGTAGTTTTTGAATAATTGAAAATCTGTGAACGAGAGAAAGAAAAAAAGCATGGTCCCATGAAATGAAACTATTCATATACAGTGTATAGTGTACTGCATATGACGGACACTTAAAATGATGGTTGGAAAATTCGAACGACGCAATTAAACAGAACAAATACAGCTTTCGATAGCATCAGCATTTGGCCGTTTTGTTCACTCTCAGTTTTGGTTCTGTTCTTTTGTTGAATAACTCATTTGAGATGGGGGGGACCTTCATCTATTTTAATCATCGATTTTTTATTGATTATTTGAACAATATTGTTTATCGTCAGCAGGTACATAGCATAGAAATGTTCTTTATCTTGATGCTTATTAAAACAAAAACACAATTGGGTATTCCATTCTTTCGACCTAATTGATGTGACACATACAGAGTCAATATTGTTTCATCGATGATGTCAAGAATGTAATTAACGGCGTTTTGTTCGGTTTTTTTATTTAAAATATCTTTACAAAGCCGTTAGAAGTGGTCTCACTTCAAATCTTCCATAGTTTTTGATTACATTATGCTTGCCATTGCAGTATTTTAATTTTGCTTGCATTATTTTATGTAAGACAAGCGTTTATTTAAAATCACACGAATTGATTATTCATGAGGATTCTTTACTGAAGAGTATGGTTGATCCGAACGAATAATTTGCATTTTAAACATGGACACCGCGTCGTTGTCGCAGTCCAGTATGGTCTATAATTCGTAAAACATTCATCGAAATCATCGTCTTCTTTTTTTTCTTCTCCGACTTCTCCTTCGTCGTCGTTGTTGTCGAATTATGGCAAACAATGAAATGAAAGTGAAAGGCAGAAGAAATGGCTGCGGAACAAGCAACAAATTATATTGAATATCAAGTCAGCCGGCTTCTGTGCCATAACCATCCGAACGAAAAAAGTCCGATGATGTCATGGCTATATATTTCGTTTTTTTTTTCGTTGTTCGCATTGTTATACCACCATTCGCATTTCAATAGACGAAATTTGTTAGTGTGTTGCGTGCCGCATATGCAGGCTCAATTCAAATGGTTTGAAGGCTTTTCTTGCTCTTTCGTTCGTCTGATTTGTAAACGAATTTTTTGTTTTATCAACATGCATTCACTCGGATCCATTTCACAAATAGACTATAGTTCCATTTATGAATTTTCGTTTGTTTTTTTTCTATCTGCGTCCTGTCTGATTTACGCTATTGTCATATTTTTTTATGTTCCGAATATTTAACCGAGACCTTTTAATGACAGACCGAAAAATCTATCGTTTTCACACCCAACCAATATGTCCTCAATGATGAGCCATTTTGTAAATTACTTTTTACATTAGTGGCATGCATTTATAAAAATAGCACCATGTCGGAGTCTGAGCTAATTATCACCTACGAAATTATTTGATGTTTACAAATCGATGTGGTTTCTGTCGTCACAGCAAAAACCAAATCAACGCACATGTATACGCTCATTTTATCGTTGTTTTTCGTGTGATGTTCTTTTAATCATTTTTTTCATCGCCAGTGTCCGCTCGTAATGCGAAACGCCATCGTATCACTGAGTCATCATGAATAAAATAGTGTTTCGACGAAAAGATGTCGTTGCAATGACGATTGAAATTGGCGTCATCGTTTGCGCTTAGCATAAATGAAATCATCGATTTTTTGTGTTTTGCATCACCGATTGGCACGAGCGAACAAGCCTGTGTGTGATTCAAAACGATTTCCAATTAAACAGTTTCGATATTTCAATAAATATTTGGCGAGCTCATTACTAAAACAATAAACCGGTTTTCTTTCGTTCAATTTAGTTACATTGCTGGTAATGATATATGATATCAGACAATTGCAATAATGCCCTAGTCTGTTTCTACCGGAATTGACTGTGGTTGCGAACTTTGACACACCATTTAATAATGTTCAATTTTAGAAGAAATTATTGCATTTACTGTCATTGAATAAGTGTTGAAGGTGGTCTTTGGAATTGATTCCAATCAAAGTGGAATCAATTCCAAAGACCACCTTCAATTCAATTGAAATTTATTGAATCGAATTCCGCGTTCACTCGAAAACAACCGTAATAAAATTAAACGTATGCCTTGTGCTAGTTAGAATTTACTCAGAAAATGTTGTTCTCAAAATAGAAAACATTCCGATTAAATTA